GACTTTATATAGTACTTCAATGGTTACGCCGATGTCTCTTAGTGCCCACTTACCATAAAAAATTTGTGTTACCCTGACTTTGTGACTTTTAGCATTCTAAAGTAAGGGCATTTTAGACCCTGAAAATCTAGAATAACGGCATTTTAAAAAAGGTGCGGTTTGTTTAGAGCCCCGGCTCTATATAAACTTTTTCCTTTAAAAAAAATAAAAATAAATAAGAGCATGAATGTAAAATAAAAATAAAAATAAAAATTAGATGGGATTTCCATATTAATGGTAAGTTAGGAAGGCATCAGTGCAAATTTATCTTATTAATACGAAGGTTTTATGTTTTTTAAAACAAACCATTTTTAAGCTATCTTTGTACATTTCTAATAAAATAAAGAATAAGGGACTTAAGAAAGGAAACTAAAGAGAGTAACATAGAGATTCGCATAAGGTTGCAACCTGCATTTTAAACATTCAAGTAAAGTGCACATCTAAACTTTATCATAAGATGCATTTTGGTGTCGAAATTTTTTTAGGATGGTCGTTATTCTACTTTCATCGTTAATTATAAAAGTTTAAACTAAAAAAAGTTCAATTTAAACAAATCTATAAACACATGAAAATCTTAAAAATGGATAGCCAAATTACAAGATGAACTATTTTTGAGACTTGAAATCTTTTTTTTGTTTTTTTTTTCTTATTCATATATCTTGATGTCTAGATAATCAATTAAATAGTTTTCCAACATCAAAAAATATATATACTTTTACCGACCGTATTTTGAGATAAACTTATTTTAATTATAGTTAGTACGGTGATATATAGCACGAACTTGGCACAAGATACGTTAAGTTCTAAAATATGTATTTTAACATCCCTGTGTTGTGAGCAATGTATCGTGATGCAGCCTTAAAATTGAGAATTCTTATGGCCGCATGTCTCGAATCAGCGTGTCGTGGACTCAAAATTAAGAGTTGGTGGCAGTGTGGTTGGGTTCACTTCGGTCAAAAGGCTGAAGCCAAGTATAGACCAAAACAAAGCGTAGCTTGGTGCTGCCGCTTCGGTCCGTATCGGGCCGCTTCGGCTAAAGCTTCAGCCTCTTCATTCGAAACAATGAGATATTCATATAAAAGTATTTTAAAATAATAATAATAATAATAATTTTTTTATTTTTATATATTATAATTTATTTCTATTAAGTTACAAAAAAGAAAAAATCATAAACCTTCCCCCGAATTGGGCGAAACACCGAATTGCTTCGTTTTTTTTATCATACCAAAAAAGACTCCGAAATGAATCGGACAATATCGGTTGGTAGACATAAAAAGTGCATGAGGCCTACCTGCAGTCTCATCACACTCACCACATTGTATGTTATTGACATGCACATCCTAAGTTAAACCTCAGCAAAGGTGGTTATTTATTTATTTTTTATTTTTTTCTTTGTTTTGGTACTAAGAAGAGATCCCTCTAAGAATTGAATGACCCAACTAAGGCTTTAAGTTTTGGGAGGTGACAATTATCACCTACCCATTCAAACCTTGTCCAGCAGGTAAGCATCATGGGGTGTGGTATTTGAGATTTTGTAATATAATCTTGAAGCTTAGAAGTGATAGAAAATCATCTCGGGTGAAATTGTCTTTTGTACATTTTGTTAAGGGTTTGTTTGTCACTTAATTATGTGATTTGTATAAAATAAAATAAAAAGAGAATATGAGATATACGATTTTTTTTGGTTTGAACTATTTTCTCTCTCTAAAAAGGGTTAGGCCTCCCTCGGTTATGTTGAGAAAGGGAAAGAAACGAATAATAATTTATTGTCCAATTTTTAGGGGATAAATTATATAAATTTGTTTTGCCCATGTCTTTCAATCATTTGGAGTAAAACGCATTAAATCGTGATTTTTGAGTGATCACAAAATGTATTGTTGATGATGTTTTTCACCAAATTTATCTATTGAGATAACATTATATCATCTTATAAATTTATCTTTTGATAATGAAATACTTGCTAGCTTGTCAGTAGACATAGCCCTATAGAATAAACCACATTAAATTCATGTTATGGTTTATCTCTCTAAACATTGAAGTTGTTAAAAATGGTGAATGGATATGGTTTTGGTTTTGAAAAAAAAGGTGAAAGTAAAAATACACTTGTGTGATATGCGAGGAATAGAAAAGGATCAACTAACGCGTTAATTTCATCATTCAATGTTCTTAATACATTCTTCCTAAAAAAAAACATTTGAGAAATATTAAAATTATCTAATCCAATGTTTCAAAATTCAAACACTTAATATATTTAGAAAAGATATAGAGATATTGGAAATAAATTAAAAGGAAAATTATAGACACCCCCTTGACCTTAGTTTCTAGGCATGTCATCTCACAATATTTTGTAAATCACACTCTTAACCCCAAAACTTTTTATATTTTATAGCCTCCCCCCAAAGTCAAGAAGCATGCTTTTTTTTTTTACCCCATGCATTATTTTTAAAGGTTATGTTTTCTACTTTCTCTTTGAGCTGGTTTGGCACAACTTGAATATAGAACCAGTTCAAATAAAATTTTGTGTGGACCAGCTCTATATTCAAGTTGAGCAAGTCAAGTACATTCCTGTGTTGAGCCTTGATATGTTGGGTGTCACATTTTGGAATCACTTGTTAAAACAGAGAGTAGTTTGGTTCAAAACTTTTCGGTTTAGTTCGTAGGGGGTTGTTTGCAAAGAAAACTAATATTGCAACTAATAGTGTGATATCAAATGTGTTGGGGGAGCATGCTTTAAAGGTATATATTATGGGAGGAGGGCAGTTTATATTTTTTCTTAAATTAAAAACATCCATTTGTTTTGACACGTTAAAAAAAAGGGACAATTTTTTTTTTTGTTCCAAACATGGACATAGATGGATTTAAAGCCCTTCCATCCCAACTTTAATAATATATAGAATAGATTGGCTCAATCTCATTCATCTAGGGTTCTCTCGAGATTTATAGTTACTAACACCACTAGATCCGTCATATCACTGATCGGTGCCTTAGTTGATTTAGCTCAAATAAAAAACTATGTTTGATTGAAAACTTGTCAAAACCAATATTTGATTAGTTCTAACAGATGAAACTAATCATCTCTGACCAATTCGACTTGCTAAATAAAGTTGAACAAATTTTTTATATGTTTTATACTTTTAAATTATCAGTTCTAATTTTTTTTAACTTTTATAATATCTAATGTAAGTATTTCAATCCACGGCCATACTAGTTTTGATTGAACCAAACTCCTCACTACTTTAATACACTATCCGACCCTTATAATACTAGTTTTAATAACTTAAAGAAAAATCAATATCGCCAACACTAAATATCAACCAATTTATGGTTTTCCATTGTATAGGAAAAAAAAAGAAAAAAAGAGATCCACGAGACGGTCCAAAGCAGACCTATCTTGATGTTGATATTTTCATCCAATTCCCACTTAGTAGTCTTCATTGTTCAATAGAGTTTTTTTTTTGGATTGTCTACAAAGAGAATATTTATCTTTTGAACATGGAAGTCACAATTATTCCTACTCATTAGATGTCAAAGTAGATGGCTCGAGATGAATCACGAAGTCCGAAAATATATTTTTTTTGAAACTTTGTATCTATTTAATGACTCTCTTACAACTGCCCATTTTGATATTTAAAAAACGATAATGATTGTGACCTCCATATACAAAGATAAATGGTCTATCCGTAGACAATCCCTTTTTTTTTTTCACGCTCATTTGAGTGCGAGAGTTGTCCCAGCTTGGTCTGCACTATTTTGCTGCGAGGCTAACCCACCTATCTCTAAAACACAACTGAACCTCCCATTAGATTGCCAAAATGGAACTTTCCTATGGTGGGTATAGTTTTTCAAGAGTGGACATAAAGCTAAGAAGAGCTATTTCCAAACAAAAACTCTATAAGTTCGAGCATTCATGAGATTGTATACTATCAAGCTATTTATCATTGTTTCAAGAATAACACAATTGTTTCTAGGCATTAGATGCCAAATTGGATGACTTGAGATGTCACAAAATTTGAGAAAATATTTTTGAATTTTGAGTACAGATAATGACACACTTACCACATCCTATTTAAAACCTGACGACCAAGAGTGTTTGTGACCTCTTTGTACTCAAAGTAAATGGTCTTTAAAAAAAATTTATATAAAGATGTTACCTTATAATGTAGAACTACGGATGCCCCTCAAAAATCTATCGGAACCCTTTGATTGATTACCTCAACATCGAGAAGTATGACTATGAAAAATAAAAAGATTTCAAATATAAAAAATAGTGCATTTTACAACATATTATCTATACCGTCCATGTTCAAGATTTTCATATATTTATAGATCTACTTTATTTTAACCATTTTTGAAATTTAAAATTTTATAATTAGATATAATAATAGATTTTGAGATAATCCCAAGAACATTTTATATCAAAATTATATACCATGATAAAATTTGAAGGTGCACCTTACCTCTGCACCTATGGATGCATCCGCATGGAAACTGCACCCATCGTCTTTTTGTATACTTTCCCTAGGGTATTTAGGCTTCATGTGACAATTTTGTTCTTCATGATACAATACAACACAAAAGAAAAGGCATCATCATGTGGTCTTTCCTTCTTGTCTTCAACAACACATTAGCAACTAATGGTACAAATAATGCATTTTGAGCTTTTCCCATTGCAGGCTTGAACCAAGTACTTGAGGAACACACAATTTTGAGTAAACAATGAGGAACAAGGATTGTTTTGGAGATCCAAATTATATACCATTTTAAAATTATAAAACACATATTTGAGAGTCGCACCCGATGCCTAACCTTACATGAAGTCTTAAACACAAATACACATTCATAACTCACTGACCAAAGCTCGTAAGAAGCTGAGAACTTCCCGGTATATTTAAGTAGATCTAACAATCACATTCAAATTACATAAACTTGCCCCATCCCTAAGGTGTTCTGGTTTGATTTCTAACCTCCTCACCCCTTCCAACCTATGATAAAAATTCACTCTAAAATTCAGATGTACGTGTAACTTTATTAATAGAACTAATCACTTTATGATACCTCAATGTTACAATACATATGGGGCTTCAAAAGCATTAAAAGCCATAATTCTAGAAGAAATATAAAAAACAAATTGAGAAGCTGGATGGGAAATCAAACTGCAAATGTGAGGGTGAGGCAAGATGTCCACCAAGGTAAGAGAGGTATCAAAGGGAAAAGAAAAAAACAAGGTATCCCATTTCAAGACTTCAAATACTTTTTGAGGATAGAGTAACAACAATACGAAGCAATTTCAGACGTCATTTCTAATGCACCAAGTTACTCGGTAGAGGGCGAAGTGAAGGCCAGATTTAAGACATATCCTGCTAAAATGCCCAAGGCTCCAACAAAAGCAGCAAACACAACAGAGAAGCCCGAATCTTTACGGCGGCGTCCTTGCCTCTTCAGCATTTCCTTTGAAAGGAATAGGAAAATAGTCAAGTGACTTCATTTCAAAAGAGGACGGGAGCATTGCATTGAAAATATAATGTAATCCCAGAGTACAACAACAATGGTCTCTATTTGTTGTCAATTTTATTCCTCAGAATCTAAGCAGGTAGTATTGCCGATTGTAAGGGGCATTAAAGGTCCTTTTGCCATCCTAATCCCGTGAACCCTATCATCGGATACTTATATTATCTGTAGTTCTCGAGGAAAAATGACAAAGTACAATAATTGCATGGCATTAATTGCTGTTGTAAGCTACATAGTGTAAACTCATTGCGTGTTGCGTGGCATTTCTCACTTGACAGTCTTTTTTATCACTTTTATATTAACACTTTCAGACACGTTTAGACAAATTTGATGAATTTTATCACCAACGGATACCTTAAGGAAGCAGGACAAAATTATATAAGAAGTCAAACCGCATTTGTACTGCATAAAGTGCTCTTTTCTCCTTTAGAAAATGATGTTAACATTGTTGATGCTAATTGTTATAGGAAAGCATTCTAGCACTTGGGCTTCTAACAGTATATTAGTGCCTCCACAATTGTCAGATGTAAACAAAGGAAGTCCAAGGAAAAAGAAATTTACAGAGTGAAAAGAAGAACTATCCATTGTGGACATAGATAGTTGGGGATGTACTAGACACACAGTAGGAAACATAAGTCCTAGAATGGCATAAAAACTCCGCTGCTAGTTCAGAACCATTGTTTCAAATAAACAAATAGTACCAAAATATTTTATGCTAATATAGGGTTATTAGATCACCAATTAAAACATGGTATCACTTTCGCAAGAAGTTTCAGCAACCATGACAGTAATGAAATTTTTAATAATAACGACAAAGAGATGCATTTATACCAGCTCTTGTAGCAATTGACGATTTTGCTGAAGGGCGGTATCTCTTTCCTCCTTCAAACGGGACAATGCAGCATCGATCTGCATGAGAATAACTTTTGCATGAAAAATTCATGGTAAATAGGAAGCTGACTGTACAGATTTGGCCACAAAAAACTTACAATAAAACATTAACCTCACGGGTACTATACATCAAGATGACATTATAGGAGGCAAAATATTAAGAATCACATCATAAATATCAAGATCTCCACTCCAGTATTTGATTATAAGAAACTACAAGAATGCCCAATATCAGAGCACTCCATCATAATTATCATTTAGTTAAATCAATGTCAAATTTCCTATTAAATGAATAATCAAGATCAAATTATTTATAGAACTCTCAAACTGCAACTCAACAGAAAAAATTCTTAAAAAAAAATTGCAACTCAACAGCAAAGGACATAACTAAAAAACAACAATGTCTAGTCTAAAGCAGATTCCATATCCTGGTGGCATCTAAAATTCTCTGGAGCTTCAGGTGATTCTAATGTTACATTAACTGTTCAACCCGATGTTAATGTTGGCTGTCCGTGCTTGTTTTTCATAGAGGAAGAAACCATTATCACATCTGTATTGACAACTGTAGTCCTTTTTCACATAAAATTAAGATTCCAAGGCCAGTGGTTTGCAATGTCAAACATAATAAGAGGAGAGTGCAATCCTTATAATGTGAAAGCACAAAGCTCATGTCTTGAATATGGGAGAGGGGTTTCATTTGCTAGAGCAAGGGAAACACCATTTACCAGGTTCCTACAACTAAAGTATAAGCAATTCTCATCAAGATAATCAGGTAGGTCGGTTCTTGGGTAATCTGGAGGTTGATGACTAATAGACCTTATGAAAGTTTCTGATCCATTTCTTGAAGCTGAACAATGACAGAAGCTTTAAGGGAAACCAAGGCCAGTATGATTTTATATGTGATGATAATGGGGACCTAAGCAAAAGCATTATTGCAACCCTTGGGATATACAATATTAAGACCGATTCTCAATCCTTCATTGGGACTCAGCTTATAGCAGCAGCTTTTAAAATCATTTGTTATTGATGTGAACTCTCTCAATGTTTTCAGATTGCTTAATACAATAACCCATTTACATGCATCATAGTGGGAAGATAAGCAGAAGTTCAAAAATTATTCTCCTCAGTTGACGTTGTGTATGTGTGCGCATTTTTCTCTTTTCACTGGGTAAATTTCATGTCATATCATAGAGTGTCACATTGTAGGCATGCCCTCCACTCCTACATCGAGTTCAACAACTCAAACACCAGAAACGCAAAGAAGATAAAATGAAACCCAAATGGAGACATTACTTACACTGTCATTGCTCAATTCGCTATTCACCTGCCAAGAAAAACAAATGAAAACCTATATCCTCACAACATCTTCAGAAACACAACATTTGCATGAGGATAAAATCCACAACCAATGTGTTTTCACATGGATAGACCAGAATACAGACACAGACAAACTCAATTCAGATTGATTGAAGTAAGAAAATCTCACGGAGTTATAATCAGAGTGTTGCTTCAAGTTCCTTGACAGTGGTGAACAAAGTCCATCCTGATGTCCAGAAGGATGTGTATAGAAAACCCGAAGCTTGCACTCCTCAATGTTTTTTTCAGCATCTTTGTTGAACTGTACAAATATGATTGCTCACGTTATATAGAAACACAAACTAATTAGAGATGGCTCTCTCTAATTTGTACAATTAGTATACCGTATCTGCAGGCATCTCATCGATGTCTATATTGGATGGTACTATCGTACTCTGCAAGAGGAATTTATCTTTGGACTGCAGGTCAGGAGGAGATTCCTTTTGTGCTTGCATGGTGACTTCACAGTTGACATACAACTGACAAAATGAGAAACTAAAAAAACCTAAATAAAAGAAAACTAAATAAAAGAAAACTATTTCAATAAATATGGTTGAATTGCAAGATGGTTCCATTATAACACAACCATTTGAAAATAGTGGAAAATCAAAGAAACCCAATTCATTAGACGTGATGTTGGCCTACCTGTAATGATGAGAGAGTCCCAAGGCAATATGATGCCAAAGTTCGGCCGAACAAAATATTTTTTGGGAGAAGTGGTTTTGACCTGATTAAAGCAGCATCAGTTCAGAAGTTCTAGAATCAGCTTTTTTCTTTTTGCTAAATTGTTTCCACTACTTTACACTCAGTTCTATAATAATAATAATAATAATGATGATGATGATGATGATGATGATGATGATGATGATCATCATCATCATCATCATCATCATCATCATCATCATAATAATAATAATAATAATAATAATAATAATAATAATGATGATAATGATAATGATAATAATAATAATAATAATACTAATAATAACAATAATAATAATAATAATAATAATAATAGATACCAGGTTTCAGTCGTTTTCATTCAATGGAAGCCTAAAGGAATGGGCTTTAGTTGTCTAAGAGTTGGTACCTTAAAGGCAACATGATGTTCAGTGTTATTCACCACCTTGAGATTACAATAGCTTATCTTGTCGACCACAACTGCTCATTGCCAATAGGAAAATTAAATAAGCACAAATACATGTGTCACTGTCATAATATCACCATCTTTCATCAGTTGCCACCAAGAGACAAGGCTGGCGAGGAGTTTCATTAAGAAAATCATGGTACTCAAGCAGATCAGGATTTCCATAGAATAATGGTTATTCATAAACAAACTTGGACATTGTATCGCTTATAAATGTTTTCATGCATCCCTCAAATTCATACATGACTAAATACATTTTTTTATAGAAAATAAACAAACAGGGAAAGTTAGGATTAATAACCAAAAAAGGTGAAACGTAGGATACCATTAATTAAATGGGCATAAAAGTATCAGGACTCCTATTCTCAATGATAATTCAGAGCGAATTTTCACAAATGGTCAATTATAAAGAAGAAAGTGTACCATCCAGCACAGTTGTATAGTATATGGTATAACAGAGGGCATTCCTTCTTGATGATTGGTGATGGAGATTAATCACAGTTTCTGATGTTAGCAATTCACATAGGTACAGTTAATCTCTACAGTCAATCATTTGGATGGACAGTCAATGCTGCTAACATGGTGTACCAACTGACGTATGACGTTGGAGTATGGAATATTTCTATTGATACACAACATTCGTAGTGTTTGTGCTCACATATAATTAGAAAATCCAGTTCATGGTGTTGTTAATCATGCACATATTACAGTAATACTCAATAATTTGACAGTGAATCTATCATTCGTTGCAAAAGATAAGTCAGTTGAGCTGCAAAAGTAATGACACTTATGTACCCTGCGGTATACTTCATTCAAAATTTTCATTAGTTGCCGCAAAGAGAACGTAGGCAAGGAGTTGCATTAAGAACTACATGGTACTCAAGCAGGTCAGATTTTCCATAGAATAATGATTATTCATAGACCAACTTGAGCCTTGTCTACCTCAAATTCATAAATGCTTTCATGCATCCCTCAAATTCATAAATGCCTAGAAACAAATTACTAGAAAATAAACACATGGGGAACTATAGGATTAATTACAAAAAAAGGCAAAAGACAGGATTTCGTTAATTAAATGCACTTACAAATATCAGGATTCCTGTTTTCGATAATGATTCAAAGGCCAATTTCAAACATTGGCCAATTATAAAGAGGAAAGTATACCATCCAGCACGAATGTATAGTACATGGTACAGTACAAGGGCATCCCCCATCCCTTTCTGATCATGGGTGGTGGAGATTAACCATAGTTTCTAACGTTGGCAAGTCACAGAGGTACAGTTGATCTCTACAGTTTATCATTGGGATTGAGAGTGAATGCTGCAACCTTAGTGTGCCATTTGCCATATGCCGCTGGTGTATGGCATATTTCCCATTCATAGCAACATTCATTGAGTGTTCGTGTTCACATAAACATAGAACTTCATGGGGTTGCTAATCGTGGATACATTTCAGTAATACTCAACAGTTTGACAGCCAATTTATCATCCACTGCAACGGATAATTCAGTTGGGCTGTCGCACCATTAGAAGAAAAGCAACGACACATATGCACTTGATGTTATACTTTTCCATTATTTAAGTGTTTGTATTCACATCAAGATACGAAACCACTTCATGGGCTGATTAATCTTGCGTACAATTACCTATTCAACAAAATTCAATTTAAATTGGTAATCCATTGCAATAGTTTATCGATTTGGATTACAACACCCCGGGCACACAAGCAATGCCATAGTTTGAGATACGCAATTCTAACACCAATGAATATCAAGCTTAGTTCTGACCCCTATTAAGCAAACTCCACAACATACCATAAGAGGGATGCAGATAGATAGTGAGAGAACAGGAATCACGAAAAAAATTAAAATAAAGCCTGAAGTGAAAATCTGATACAAGTGTTTTTGAAATCTATTTACGAGTCTCATATTATTGAAATATAATTTCAGAAAGATCTCAAACCAATTAAACGGTATCATCGCAATTCACATATATTCGATTGATCAATCAGAGAAACACAAATTCAATCCCATTTCTCTTGTTTAATCAATAAAATAATAATAACCACATCACTTCTATTTAATCCAGCTCCCAATTAAAAATAAATAAAAAAATACAGTATTTCAACTCATTGCTAATTTCTACTATCCTTTTAGAATATATTTATCAATCGAGACAGATACCCAGAGAAGATAAAAACTACATAAAGAAAACAAATTTAAAAAGGTTAAAAAAATAAAAAGAGGTTTTCTCTTTTTACTTTTTCTTTTGCTTACATGGAAAGATGAGATCTTCTGGATAAACCGATATAAGTTGCTGGCTACTCATCCCTATTGAAAAATGACTGCAAATTCTTCATTCATCATCTGCACATTGCAATGTCACAAGAAAACATATACCCAGCAAATTTGAAGAAAAACATGGAAAATATTTTTGGGGGCAAGTATGAAGAGCTATTAATAGAAAAGAAGACTAAAACCCATTAAAATGTAGAGAGAGAAACAAAGCTATTCTACTGAAATGTAGAGAGAGAAAGAAAGGCCATTAACCTCGGTAGCATTAAGAAAAGATACGCAATAACGGCGTCAGCTTCGGTGACTGAGAGGCCATTGCCTGGTCCAAAACCTAAAATGAAGGGCCTAATTAAATGCATGACAATAATCAGTTTTTTCCAACAAAAAAAAAAAAGCCAAAAGTTTAAAGAAGGCTGGCTGCCAGATCTAAATTAAATTGATGTTGCAGTTTAATGAAGCCAAAGTTTTTCCAAAGTTTTTTTTTTTTTTTACAAGCATATTATTCAAGTAGAGATGATCGATGTAGCTTGTAATTTTTTATGAGTTATGATGTGAGGATTTATTTATTTTGACAGGGCTGCAGCCTGTATTTGTATGTTTTCTTTGATTTCTCTTTCTTCAAGGAAAAGAATAGGACACCTCATACAAAGTATACGCCCTATACTATAGAATTGAGACATATCCCAAAAACTAATAGGATAATGTTTGTTGCTGGAAAACCAATTGATCTTCTCGACCACGAGATTTTTAGATATTAAGGAAAATAATTTCAAGTCGTTAAAGTAGTTCATCTTGTAACAAATTATTTAGATAAACAATCCCACTATTTTTAATTATTTATATATTTGCATGAATCCAAATTATTTAGATAATCAATCCCACTATTTTCAATTATTTATATATTTGCTTGATTCATGCCATTCTTGGAGCTTTCAATTTCATATTTTGAGGTAGTAATAGATTTTCACGTTATCGTAAGAATTTTTGGCACTTGAATTACATCGTTTGTGAATGTTTAGAGGTGTGTTTTACTTCGATATTTCAAGGTGGTCGCCTCGTTTAAACCACACCCAAAAAAAATTTGTTTAACTTTGTAACACACCCTGAGCCGTCAAAATAATTAATCTCACGGAAATGGGAGGTTGTGACCTCCTTGTATGGCAAATAAAATAAAGGAAAATTATAATGAGATCATTTTCCTTTTGTACAAGGTGGTCACAATTAATATTGACCATTGGATGTTAAATTAGGTGGCTGCATTTATTTCATTGACCAAACTCAAAGTTAAAAAAAAAAAATTCTCAAATTTTGTAATACACCCAAGCTATCACTCCACATCGGAAGTTTGTAGGTAATTGTGAACTATATGTGCCAAAAGTGAATGGTCTCATCGTATGTAGTCCCATAAAATAAAAGGTCCCAAAATACCTTTTCTTTAAGAAATGACATTTACCTAGAAATAGTGATGCATAGCAATTCAAAAAGAAATCAACTAATATATTGCAAAAAGTATATCAGAGATCGACTATTTAACATTTTACTCGTACTTTTTTATTTCAAATAAAATGCCCCATAAAAATACACATGATCATGACTTGAAATTATTAAAAAAGGAAAAAAAAGTTAAAAGGGCAGCGATTTCATGCAAGCGGTTGAAAGTTAAGAGTATTTGAAAAGTTAAGAGTATTTGGATAAAAATTCCATATTGTAGGGCTATGTATGTATGTATAAGGGCCTACCTAATACTATACAACTAAGATATACCTCTAAATTTTATAGGTGGATGTAGTTCTGGTTTTGGAATCTTTATAATAATTTAAAAATTTATGTTCAACACTAATTATGAAATGTAAATTTTCAAAAACAGTGCATATCAAGCAAATTTATCGACACTTGGAAATTTTGAAAATAGTCAGTCCATATAACTTGTTACAAAATGCACTACTTTAAGACCTAAAATACCATTTTTTTATATCGATAAAACTCTAGATTGAGATGTTCAATTAGAAGGATTTCCAACTTCAAAACAATTATTTCTACTGGTTTTTTAGGTTCACAGTACTTATACAATTTAGGGTTGTGACCTTATATAATTTTTTTTTAAGGATTAATTGCTAAGGTTGAAGTTTCTTTTGTTGTTCAACGAAAAACAATTATCAATGATTGCCACTTTTAGTCATTGGTGATATTTATGTGTCATTTCCAAGGTAACTATAAAATTGCACAATATGGGCTGATATAAGCAATGCCTTAGCTTTCAGTTGTGGAAAGCCATCTCTTTATATTGTATTTTCTTCAGTGTTCTTGGCAACAAGTGAACCATTCTCATCCAAGAAACGAAAAGTTATGATAATGTGTTTTTTTGTGTGTTTTTTGAAATTAAATCATATTATATGGACTAAAATGTTAAATAATTAACCTCTCATATGTATTTTGATAAATTTGGTATCATATGCCTTGAAGAGGTTCCAATTATTCGTCACATGAATGTAGCACTGGTGTCTACCTACCAACCTTCCTCCTTATCAACCATATTAACTTCAATGACCATTGCCACTAAGTTATCATTGGTGGTTAAAATGACTTAGACTTTGAGGCTTTTGAGATCCTTTTCGGCATATCACCGTTCCCTTAAATAATCGTCGGGTTTTCCACAAATACCAAAGTTCCCTAAATATATATCATAAATAGGATAGGTATGTGCGTTTAGGATATTACCCTTGCACATGTAATCATCCTCCATCTATTTCTGCCGATTTTTGGACAACTCGGGGTCCTTCTCTTCATGTGGCGATGGCAACTAAAAGAAAGATCTATGTGATATTTTGCCGGAAAAATATAATTTTATTATTATTATTAATAATAATAATCACCCTTTATGTTTTGGCAACAAAATCACTCACAGATTGTCTTATTACAAACAGCAGATATTCCAAAATAAAATTGCATAACAATAAAACTTAACTTCATTTATACAACTTAATATAATGCTTGAGAATATAAAATAAAAGAACAAGTAAATAAAAGAACAGATGTCCGAGATACCTCAACAGGACTTTTTACACCACACACCGAGTCACCACATCCAATGGTGCGGGATCTACGGTATAGCTTCAATCTCAAACGGGAAAAGCTGATTTCGGCCAAACTAGGTAACTGCCCTTAAAATCTCTACCAAACCCTAACCCCCAAAAATAACTATAGGCTTCCCTCTGATTTCTTACTCTAGTTTCTTCTTAGGTCTAAAGAGGAGAGAGATAACTACTTAAGGTTGGGTATGCCCCTTTGAAAGTTTTGGAGATAATGTTAAAGAGAGAAATATAGAGGATAGAGAGAGGTGAGAGAGAGATGATGGGAGAGAGATAAGTTGTGTGGAGATAGGAAATAAAAACCCATTTTTTAGTGTAACGTTAGGTTTAGAGTTTCTTATGGTTTTCTCATAGTTTGCTTTTTTCATGAGATTGAATCTAAACCGTTGATCAATGTGACTCGTGGGGTGAGAGATCTGAACCATCCATTCCATAAATGGGCCATCAACATTATGGAAGGTGTTTGGACCATTATCCCATTTTTCTTAAACCATTTTTTCATCAATATATTTAAATAAAATAAATATCATGCAGTCCATAAAAATGCATGATCCATCTCACATATTCCTCAAGGCTATGTCAAATATTATCAAGCAAATAAATACTACTAAATATAAATAAGATAAGGTCAATATTTACTATCAATTCAAATTGATCATATCCCTTTAAAGCAAACTTGCTATAAAACAAAATAAGCCATGGTCAATATTTTCCTTCTAAGATTTGACCACATGCTACAAATCAAAGTTACCATAACTTAAAGACTTGAATACAAAGCAAATAAAAAAAAAGAATCCAAAGGGGTGGGGCGTGCCACCCCTATGTGGCACATGTGAGCTCCCACCCACATTACAACTTTGTAAAATCATAAATAAAATATTGAAAGATTTATAAAAATTCAAATAATAAAACTAAAACCATTGTAATAATAAAATGAACACCATTAAATTAAAATGATCCATATGGTTTTAGGAATTTAATCTGTAATTATGGGGTACTCCACCTTCAACTGTGGACTACATACCACACTAGCTTTATCGAACCGACAAAGTGTTTCCCATGACCCACAGTTCAAGCATGGGCTCATTAGCGGGTCACCAAAGTCAGGCCGATGAATAAAAGGGTCGTAATCCCAGTCTGTGTATTACATATCCTCCCCCATATACGAGTCGAGGTCACCACGACCTGATGCGACCACAACTCTATGACGCATATAGGTATCTCTTGCATACGCATACGCTTCACCCAAAGGTAGATACCTGGCTTTCTCGAACAATCTATCGATATGTATGCCGTATGATGGAACATGGATGAGGTTTTGGCCATCGTCTCAGTAGGCTTACCATCACACACAATGGTCACACGGTCCCTCGGTTCATTCATCTAGGCATAAGCTTCGACCTCATCAAGGGCTAATGCAAAACCCTCATCGGTTAATTCTTTATGCCCAGATATCTTGAGTTTTTCAACCGACTGCCCTAAATTGATAATCACAGTCTGGTATAAGCAAACATCATTTCCTTAGTATGGTTCTTGAGGGACCATACTCCCAATAAAATTATGTTTCACTATAATAAAAATATTTATATAAACCCAACATCTCCTGTGTATTTTCAATAAAACATAAGTTTACCTTTGTGAAGTCTTGACCATGTGCAACAAGGTAACTCCGACAAATTAGTACTTCGGGATATTTGTAAATAGAAGATCGATGAAAATCCTCACTTAATTTTGCAAAGTTTTAACACCAAAGTTGTCTGAATTTACAGAGAGAAAGCATATCTTTTTTGTATTTTTAGAGAGATAAAGACAATAAGAAAATATTGCGAGAGAGATTTCAAAATTGTCAAAATGTGATACAAAACGAGGAGCCAAAAAGTCCATTTTAAATAGTGAAAACTGGCTATTAATGTGATTGCTCCCAGGACAAATGACTGATGGGGTTTTGAGCACGACTCATATACATGCTCGGGCAAGGGGGCGCCTCATGCACTAATGCGATTGTGCAAAGTGCGCCATCAAGCGGCCTTGTACCATCAAACGGCTTTGCGCCTTTACATGATTTGTGTGCTCTGTCCACACTCTCTTGTTTGTTCCATGAACATAAGCCATGTGATTGTTCTTATATGTATGGACCCAGTTTTTACGAGTCCTTTGACTCATACTATTTTCATGCAGGCTCCCTTGAACACCCATTATTTGTATCATTTTTGGATCTAAATTTGCAGCTATCTATGATCTAAATTATGATGATCATGAATATATATATATATAATTAAAACATTTTATTTTATTTTTTTCCCTATACATTGGATAGGAATATTTAATTGTGGATGTTCATCTTAAAGATGGACGTTTGTGATTGTATGGGTTAGTGAGTCCGCTCACACACATAATAGTTTTTCTATATTTATACCACTATTTCACACTCTATTATTCAATGTGAGATAAAAACCCAACACTTTTTCTATATTTATTTATAACTTAGGAAAACAACATATATAAATATAAAAAAATTTATCATTTTAAATTGAAATTGTTGTTTAAATCACCAAAAAATACATAGTTTTTTTTAAATTCTAAATTTTTGAAATCATTTAATTTTATTCGGAATTATTGCATAACTTCTATAATAATTTTTTACTTAAACTAAAATACTAACATAAACTTCAAAGATGAAAAACTACTTTGTAGCTAATTATAAAAGCTGCGGTTTTTGCAAGGTTGCAACCTCAAACAATCCAATTAAGGTGCACCTCCAAAATTTATCATACTAAGTAATTTTGGTGTAAAAAATTATTAGGATTATCTGAAAATCTAATTCGAACTTTCATATCTAATTATAGATTTTTAAATTTAAAAAATATTTAAAATCTAGTAGATCTATAAACTTATGAAAATTTAGACCATAAACAGTCGAAATAATGTGTTGCAAGGTGCACTATTCTTAAGACTCAATTTTTTATTTTATTCATATTCAAACATCTCGATGTCGAGTTGATCAATTAAAGGTTTCAACATTAAAATAAGATTTTTGAGGTGCATATTTAATTCTATAGTTTAAGGTTGCAACCTTATATAAAAATTTTCAAATTATAAAATTGAAAATTTTAAAAAATAGAAGAGTGGGTGGACTAGATAAAATTTTAAGCAAATCTATAAAGTTAGATCTACAAAGACATAAAAATATTGAGAATGGGTAGACTAGATAATATATTATAAGATATATAATTTTTGGCACTTTATTTATATTTATTTTCCAATATCTTTACTTCTCCCGATTGAGATGATAAAAAAACCAAAAAGAAATGCTTTAGACTGATTGACTCGGACCGAGAACCCGGGTGGATGACATTCACTCGGCGGCTATGGGTTCACCAAAATTGCACTCGCGTCGGTGTGAGTCCGGGTCCGGGTCCGAACTTTAGCGTTCGTCTCTGTCTCTTCCCATCACTATAGAAAGCCAGCATCTGCACATCATTGTTCAGCTGAGCAAATTTGATTTTCTCTTCTTCTTTTGGGTATTTTGAACAGAGAAATCACCTCCTCTTTTAACCCCCCAAGCGGAGAAATCCCCATTTTTATGATCTTCTGTGTACCCATGAAGCTAAAGAGAAGCAACATGGGTTTCGAGATTGGACATGTTCCCTCCAACCGCGATGGGTGGGGGCCGCCTGAGGGCCCTGTTGTACTTGAAAATCAGCTTCAGAACGTGCCATATGCCCCCTACTCCAAGTCTGAGAAGCTCGGCCGCATTGCAGATTGGAGCCGCAACTACTCTGCCCACCCCTCGGCTCGCGACTCCTCTGCGGTATTTGATTTCTCCCTTGATGATGCAGACGACGAATCCTTTCGTCTTGTTGATGGGAAGCCCCCGCCGCGACCCAAGTTTGGACCCAAGTGGCGATTCCATCAAAATCCCCACCGCCACCTCCCTCAGCGTAAGGATGAGGAGGTTGAGGCCCGAAGGCGTGAGGCCGAGAAGAAGATGCTGAGAAGAGATCGGCTTTTCAATCAAAATCGTGCCAATGCTCAGAGGAGGGACGCGGCCTCATTCAAGAGTTCCGTGGATATACAGCCGGAGTGGACGATGCTTGATCAGATACCGTTCTCGACTTTCTCGAAGCTAGCATTCTCAGTGCCTGACCCTCCGGAGGACTTATTAATGTGTGGGGCGCTCGAGTTTTACGACCGGTCTTATGATCGTATCAACCTGAAGAATGAGCATCGTCTTGAGCGATTCAAGACCCGCAACTTCTTCAAGGTTTGTGTTGTTGAGATACCTTCTTATCATATTGGTTGCTGTTTTAACTGTTTGTGTATTTTTCTTGGTCGTGGTTCTACACTCTTATGGTTTTTTACTTATGCTTCTTCTTGTCCTTTATGAAGAGTTTGTTTGGTTTTGATGGTTTTTGAAATTTTTGATTCATGGTTTTTGATTAGTGTAGGAGAAGTAATCACGACTTTTAAAGCTGTTAGATTTCTTGCCACCTAACAAAAATTGGAATTAGATAAAAACAAATTCATCCACTTGGAGAAGAAAAAAATTATTGGCTTGGAGATTCTCCTAGTAATTTGTCTGCTAACAATATCATGGCCAGTAACAATAATATTTTATTAGATAATGATAATGCTAGTTCATGGTCTTTGTAGCAATTAATGGCTGGTAGTTGTTTTTTTACTGTAATTTATAGCAATGTTAAGTGAGAGAATAGTGGCATGTATAATATGAGAATCATAATTAGCACTCTAATACAATTTGATGGTGCAATTTTGGGAGGCATTTGTTGGGCATCTGAAATTTTATTGCTAAAGGCACAGCCGTATTAAACATTTCCAATTGATATCCCTTCTTTTTGTCTTAGCCATTGGATATGAGCCTGTATTGGAACGCCATTGGATACGAGCCTGTCTTGGAACTTGTCTATTAATTCTTAATTATAGTGCTTTACTAGGGTAGTATTTTTCCGAAATACAAATTTGTTCTTTTGGTGGGTCAATTAACCAGCAGCCTCCTGTTTTCATTATGAAATTTAGCTGATCAACATGGTTGAATCCATTCTATAGATTTGATTGCTGTTATGTTTTCATAACAGCTAAAACGGTCCATTGAGACTTTACGTATATGTAAGTAATATTTGCAAAGGGGAAATTTATGTTGCTTGATTCTCTTATCTCGGTCATATAATTTCAAACAACATAAAAATATGTGAACATTAATATTGGTATGGGTTCTGTTTCCTCATTCATTATGTGGAAAGATTATGTTGCTTGATTCTCTTATCTTGGTTATATAATTTCAAACAACATAAAAATATGTGATCACTAATATTGGTATGGGTTCTGTTTCCTCATTCATTATGTGGAAAGATCTATTACAGGAAGTAAAAGTTTGGAGAGGGAGGAATATATAGACAACACTAGTGCTGTATATTGTCATGATTCTTTAGAACATGCTATGATGGAAACCCATGTTAGTGATGTTCAATCTACAGCTAGGAATGTGGTCCAGGCTGAACTGGTCCTAACTATGTACTAGACTGTATATGAAAGAAATCTTTTTGTTCGCCACGAACAATAGACTCCTCTTAAACACTTTGGTCATCATCATTATTATCAAAGCATTTTCCAACTATTTGGGGTCAACTACATGAATCGTGGTTCGCCATTCTGTTTTATCAAGGGCCATACCCTTAGTGAGGCCATAAATCATGATATCTTTTCTCGCTGCTTCCAACCATATACTTTTGGGCCTATCCGTTGCCCTTTTTGAGCTTTCTACCTAAACCAACTCGCACCTCCTAATATGTGCTGTATTGGATTTGCTGCACATGGCCAACTCATCTAAGTCTACTTTCTCCCATCTTATCACCTATAGGAGCTACACTTTAGTTCTCTCGAATGTATTCATTTTGTATTCTATCCCTTCTTGTCTTACCACCCATCCATCTTAATATCCTCATCTCGGCTAGACTCATCTTATGGGTATGTTGTTTCGTGACCGCTCAACATTCAGCCCCATGAATTAAAAATGATCTCACATTTGTCCTATAGAACTTTCCCTTCAACTTCAATGGTATGCAGAGATCACATAAAACTCCGGTTGCATCTCCACCTCGCCACGCAGCAATTCTATGCATGATGTCTTCCTCAATCTCTCCACTTTCCTAGATTATCCATTCAAGATATTGAAAGTATGTTATTTTTGGTATTTCTTTGTCATCAATCTTAACCACTTCCTCTTCTCTTGTCCTATTATTACTAAACTTGCATTCCATATACTCTGTCTTTGTCCGGCTAATTTTAAAACCTTTAGATTCTAGAGCATCCCTCCAAAGTTCTGACTTTGTGTTGATGTCGCTTCGGGTCTCATTTATTAAAACTATGTCGTCCACGAATGACATGCACTACGATACCTCATCTTATAAGTGTTGGGTTAAGTCGTCCATAACTAAGATAGAGGTATGGGCTAATGATGGCCCCTGACGTAGACCTATTGTAACTGAATGCTCACTCATATCTCCACTAGTTGTTCGCACACTAATTAACACTCTCTTGTACATATCTCTTACCAAGTTGATATAGTATATAGAGACTCATTTCTTTTCCAACACCTACCAAATTAAATCTCTAGGTATCATATCTTAAACACTCTGGTGCTATTCTAATTTCAAGTGCTTTCAAATGTATTGATTAGTATGAAAAACTTCGATAATGGAAATTGGATAGGTGAAAATCATTTTTTAGTGTAAAATAATTTCTTTATGGATTTTCTAAAAAACTCATGTTTTTGAGGTCAAATTATGAAATTCAAATTGTAAAATCTGTAGCTCTATAAAATACATTAATACTTAGGCAAGATTGATTATGGTGATTTGTAAGCCTTGAAGCTACTGTAAGTGCTGCTACGAAGGTAAATATGAGTTCGCAGAGAGGGATGCAGATATGTGGATAGCATTGGTCTTTTGGAAATTAATAATTACTTCTCCAATGTTCTTATGGGTGAAATGATGCCACGCCTACATTGTACTGGCACAGAAAATACTGGTTATCCTATCATCAATCTTCCTTTGTTTGTGCACAACATAATGCTTATGCATGTGTGAGTCAATAGTTTAGTGCCTTGCTATTATTGATCTATCCTTGAGCTTGTAGGCATATGGCAATCTGTCTTAATATGATCTAAGGTTGATAGGATGTTGAGTGGGTGGTCCCTTGGCCCAATAGAATAGAGTTTTTCTCAGTATTTAAAAACTTGAACTCGAAACTTCAGCGCTGTCACAATTGAGTCGACTTGCTGAGTTAAACAGTAAACTCGGACAGTGTTTCAAAAAGCGCTAGGCGGGCGCCCAGAACCTGGGTGGCCCAGTCGAATCCAAAAAGGATGCCCATTTGAATAAAAAAAACGATATATAGTATAAAAAAATAAAGATTAGGTATTTAAAGCACTTACTTTGAGTTTGATTGCTCAATTTTCAAACTTCCACCTCAAAGATGGCTTCTAAAGACTCAAAATCTTCTAAAAAAACCCTCAATACATTTATAAAACATCAAAAATTAAATCTAATGTCAATGGTGATGTTTTGATCAATATTTGTCAACTTTGAGAAACCCTTCGATCTTAAAAAAATCACCAAAAACTAGTTTTTTGGAGGCTTTCTCTCTCTAAAATGGGCTCCAATAAGTTTTAAGTTCCAAATGAACTTAAAACCATCCTTCTAACCCTTTATATTTAAAAAAAAAAGATCACTAAAAAAGAAAATTTCCGCCTCTGAGCGGGGCACTTGCCTAGGCAGGTTCTGTACCACCTAGGTGGGGCGCAAGCCCTGGGTGGCCACCCTGAGTTGGGCGCTGGGCGCTCGCCTAGGAGGGTTCTATACCGCCTAGGCGGCCGCCTAGGGACTGCCGCCCAGATTGGCCGCCTAGGCCTGGGTGATGCGCTTAGGCCTTCTGGACCGCCTAGGCGTTGGGCGGTCCGCTTTTCGAATCACTGAACTCGGAGGATATCAGCCGGGTTTTTTAAAACTCTGTAAAAAGATATAAAAAATATTTATTGTGGGATTTGGATCTAGATTGTTACCAAATCAAACCGCATTCTACAACTTCCATAGATACCATCTATATAATAAAACAACTCAAGGGAAAAAAAGAAAAAAAAATTCTATAGCCGAAAACTTGGAAATATCCGATTTTGTCTTTTGTAAAAGTCGGCATTTGGTCGAGTTGAATTGGTGAGTTTTTACGTGTTGCAAACGAGTTTTTTATCCCTGTTTTTCTATTTTCCATGTGGTTGTCTTGTATATTTTGGTTTTTCCCTGACACATGAATATAATTATTTATCAAATAAAATGTGTTGTAGGTCACCACCACAGATGACCCGGTAATCCGCCGCCTGGCCAATGAGGACCATGCCACTGTATTTGCCACTGACGCCATCCTTGCGACCCTAATGTGTGCACCGCGCTCTGTCTATTCATGGGACATTGTTGTGCAGCGTGTTGGCAACAAGCTTTTCTTTGACAAGCGGGATGGCTCCCAGCTTGACCTCCTCTCTGTCAATGAGACCTCCCAAGAGCCCCTCCCTGAGGCCAAGGAGGACATCAATTCCGCCCATTCTCTCAGTGTTGAGGCAGCATATATTAACCAAAACTTCTCTCAACAAGTCCTTACTCGCGATGGCAATAAGCTCACATTTGAGGAGCCGAACCCATTTGCCTCTGAGGGAGATGAGGTCGCTTCTGTGGCCTACCGCTACCGACGATGGAAGCTCGACAATGAGACCTCGCTCATTGCTCGGTGTGAGGTCCACAGTGTCATTGATGCTAGGGGACAACGCTCTTTTCTCACCCTGAATGCATTGAATGAATTCGATCCCAAGTACTCTGGGGTTGACTGGCGCCAAAAGCTTGAGACTCAAAAAGGGGCAGTGCTTGCCACCGAGCTCAAGAACAACACCAACAAACTCGCCAAGTGGACTGTTCAGGCACTATTGGCTAGTGCTGATGTTATGAAGCTAGGTTATGTCTCGAGGCTCCACCCTCGTGACCACTTTAAGCATGTGATATTGAGCGTGCAAGGCTACAAGCCGAGGGAGTTTGCATCTCAGATCAATTTGAACACATCAAATATGTGGGGTATTGTGAAATCAATTGTCGACTTGTGTATGAAGTTGAATGAGGGGAAGTATATCTTGGTGAAGGACCCCTCAAAGCCACAAGTGAGGATTTATGAAGTTCCCATGGATGCCTTTGAGAACGATTATGTGGAGGAACCACTACCTGAGGAGGAGCAGTTGCAGCCACCGACTGAGGAGGAAGCTGCTGACTCTGCTACGGCTGCTGCTCCTGTTAGCAAGGATGATGAGGAGAAGGATGTGGATGCTGATGTTTAGAGTTTTGATTTGGCCTATTTCATTTTTCTAGTTAGTGCTCTAGTATTGTTGGTTTTGTGTCTTTGTGGTTCACTATCAACCTGCCCTTACAAAAACTGTGAGGATCGAAACTTTGGTACTGGTATATGTAGTATTTTCCTGAGAGCAGCATGGGTGTCTCTTCCGGTAGAGATGTATATATGATAATGCTGGAGAGATTGTAATGCTGGGGGATAAAAGTTCATTTATAGTTGTCTATAACTTGTGATTGCCTCCACGTTTCTTTTTTTATTGTGGGTAGAGATCTATATATATGATAATGCTGGAGTGATTGTAATGCTGGGGGGTAAAAAAAAGTACATTTTTAGTTGTTGTCTAACTTGTGATTGCCTCCATGTTTTGTTTTTTGTTGTGGGGTTTGAGAGCAAATGTCGTACACCTTGCTTAATTGTATTACGAAAAGCTATAAATCATTTTTTTCTACATCTATTTTTATCTAGGGATTGTATACAATGAGACCATTTTTACCTTTGGCATAGGGAGGTGGCAATTGCTTACAACCATTTGATGTGGCATAGGGAGGTGACAATTACTTACAACCATTTGATGTGAACTCTGATAGCTTGGGTGTGTCACAAAGATCAAGAAAAATTCTTTTGAACTTGATCTATGAAATAAATGCAGCTACCCAATTTCACATCCAATGGTCAAGATTAATTGTTTGTAATTTATTTCCAAATGTACTTTGAATGATGTTCATAGTTTATTTTGCTTCTTTTTACCTCTTGTTTTTTTTTTTAAACATTGCTCTGTAGTTTTTGAAATTTCAGCCCCTTTTGGGATTGTATGACTCCGGCATACCCGGAGCAGAGAAAATGAACTTTGATCATTCAAGACTCGTTTACAATACCACCGAGCACATGGCAATGAACTGATCAAGTATAATATTTACACAACCTGCTAAATTCACATACAAACTTACTGAGAAATTACATGACGTTCGATTTGCTAGGAACCAAACTTGAAAACTTCAAACATACATATTCAGTAACCTTACACATATATACAATACCAAAAGATATCAGAGGAGGGGATCGTGGCGCCTTTGCATTTTCACCTCTCTCTTGTAACCACTAAAGAAATTCATGATCCCCACTGCCATGTCCTCCATTGTGTTCCAGTACTTAACCCACCATGTTTCTTTTATTGCCAAAACTACAAAGACTCCCCAAAAACCAATGGCAAAACTCAAAACCAGCCAACCATACCATAACCATGTGGTCCTCCTCCCTTCTGTCTCCTGCCCCCTCACCCCCTCCTCATGATAAGTGTTGCAACTCTTCCCTGTTGATCCCCCACACAAGAGTGGATTCCCCTCAAACACTGAAGAATCCAATGTGAGTGTCTCAAAATGTGGAGAAGATGGCACTTGCCCACTAAGATTGTTAAAAGAAACACTTACCCACCCTAAAGAATCCAATGTAGTGAGGCTTATAGGGATGTTTCCTGATAATTTGTTGTGGCTAATGTCCAAGGAACCAAGAGTGGTCAAGTTTCCAATGCTTCGTGGAATTTGTCCAACCAAATTGTTTCTTGAAAGGTTCAACATGAATAATTCTTGGAGCAGCCCAATTTGTTCAGGAATTGCACCATCAAGGTGGTTATTTGATAGGTCAATTCCTGTATAGTATGAATATACTTTTGTCAATTGAAGCTGCATTCCCTTGTTAACAAGCTCCAGGTTCATGCTCAAAGCTTCGAGCTCGATCATGTATCCAAGGATAACTGCAGGTGTTTGTTTGGTTAAGGCCTCAAAACTGCTGAGATTAGAGGGAATGGTTCCTTCAAGGTTATTGTTTGAGAGGTCCATAAATTGGAGTTGGTGCATTTGGGTTATCTCAGTTGGAATACTTCCATTAAAGCTATTTGATCTTAGCACGAGAACACGCAGGCCTGAGAGATGACCAATGAACAACGGGATGCTTCCCTCAAAGAAATTGTAACCCAAGTTTAGAAACTCTAAGTCTTTAAGGTTTTGGATGGGTTTTGGGAAGACCCCTGTCAGGCAATTGTTGTTTAGGCGAATGGCCTTGAGGTTTTTGGCATTTTCAAGTTCTAAAGGAACATTCCCAGTTAAGTTGTTTTCTCCAAGGTTTAAAGCAACCAGGGCAGTGCAATTTCCGAAAGTAGAAGGAATGGTTCCAGTAAAATTGTTTTGTGATAAATCCAAGTTCATCAGAACATTGTTTCCATCGCAAAACATAGGTGGTATCGCTCCTGTGAGTTGGTTTGCTGAGAAGGAAACATACTTTGAATTTAGAAGTCTTTCTCCCATTTGGGTTGGGATAGAACCACTAAATTGATTGTGAGATAGATCAAAAACTTCGATGATATCAGGAGGTATTGGAAGATTACCTTGGAGACTATTGTTTGCAAGGTTTAAACCTGAAGGCATAATTGACATTGCGAGTTTGAAAGAAGGTGGAATGGTTCCATGTAGATGATTGTTAGAGAGGTCCAAATAGGCAAGTCTGGGAAGTTGCCATAACCAAGAAGGAATGGAGCCAATCAAGTTATTGCCCTGCAGAATTAGTACTTCGATAACTTCCAACTTGGAGATGAAATTTGGAACTGTGCCTTCTATAGAACATGAAGCTAACATTAAATATTGAGGCTGAAAGAATTTTGGCATCTCCATCTGATCAATTCTGACTGCTACACCACTAAAACTCAAACAAATATAGATGGGAGTGGAATTGCCAAACAGGGATGTCAAAGAAACTGCGCCTTCTAAGGAGTTGTAAGAAAAATCAAAAGAAAAACAGGCCAGAGAAGTTGCTCATGCAGTTGGGAATGCTACCATTCAGTTTGTTGTATGAAAAATCTGAGTGATATGGGGAGCTCACATAAAGAGTCTGGGATTTGACCTTCGAGGTTGTTTTGATTGAAGTTTAGCACTTGCAGGTTTCCCAGGCTGGAGAGAGAAGAAGGTATGGATCCAGATAAGCTGTTCATTGCGAAGTCTATGTGATTCAAGGTTGAGATATTCCCAAGGAATGGAGGAATGGGTCCCACAATGTTATTACTTTGCAAATTTAGTTCCACTAGAGAGGAGCTGTTTGCAATATTGCTCAAGATCATCCCATTTATGCTACAAAGGCTGGCACCAAGGATTTGTAATGATGGCCATGGAATGTCAAAAAACTGAGAAATATCTACGGAGAGATTGCTATTTCCATGAATGTAAAGTTCTTGTAACTGAGGAAGGTTGGGAATGGAACCTTTGAGACCAGAACTGACAACATTTAAAATTGAAAGGGAAGTGAGATTTGCAAGCTGAGGAGGGATATCAGAAGAAAAAAAATTGAAAGAGAGCTGTAGAGAAGAGAGAGATGTGAGGTTGAGAAGGTAACTCACAGGGATTGAACCAAAAATTCCACAGCCAACAAGATCGAGGACTCGAAGATTTTTGAGAAATGAAATGGGTTCAGCCCAATCACTATATCTTATGGACACTGCAGTGGAGAGATCAACCCCTTCCATTACAAGAACTGTGAGAGCATTCAGTCTTTCTAACCATGACAAGCTATGACAGTAAAGAAAGCCAGACGAAGCATTTGAAAAAAGGAAATTATGAACTGGTCTGTGGTTTGACATGTTCATCGAAACTGATGATACATCAACAATGAAAGTGGTGCAAGAAAGATCAAGGGCATGCAAGGCTGAGAGATTGCTCAATCTCTCTGGAATTGCACCTGAGAACCCGGCATTCGATAAATTTAGATATCTAAGGCGGTGAAGATCACCCAATTGCTCAGGTATCTGGGATTGTTGGAAGTTATTCCAGCTAAGATCAAGGTACTCCAATTGCTTGAGGCTAGAGAACAGCAAAGGAGAGATGGTTCCATTGAGGCTCCATGAGTCAGAGGAATAGGCAAACATCATGCCATTTGTCTTGCGAGCACGTTGTACTGGTTTAGGATTTCTAAGGTTTAGAGCAGTGACATGGGTGGTGTTGGATCTTTGGACACAACCAATTCCTTTCCAATTGCAACAGTTACCATTTCCTTGCCATGAAGCTAAGCGACCTTGGCTGTCCGTTAGCCCAGCTTTGAAGCTTAGCAGAGTGCTCCTTTCATTTGGAGTGCAGGCCCAGCTAGATAGCCACTGAAGTATGATGGTTGCAATGACAGTTTTTGTGTATAGGGCATGCATGATATATCACAATATGAAGGTCTTTTGCTAAAAAATTACTTCCTTGGGGTTTGAACTTTGAAGTATTTGGAATTTGGATCCTCTCCAAAGTTCTAATGCTGAGTTGAGTTCAAGCTTTAGGTCAGATGAGAATGTCTATCATAAAGCCTGGCATGGTCAAGATAATTCATTACAGAGCATGACATGGGGTTGAGTTCTCCATTAGCCACCATAAAGAAAGTAATACAAGGAAGGGTCACTATAATAGGTTAAAGTATATTGCACCCACCAATCTATGAAGGGTCTCATGCCTCACCTTTATATAAACGTTTTTTTATATATAAAAGGGATTGTCTACAAAAAGACTATTTATCTTTTGTGCATGGAGGTTACAATCATTTTCACTCATTAGATCTCAAATTGAATGGCTTGGGGTCAGTCATGAGGTCCAAAAATTTCTTTTCTGGAACTTTTAGGCTATACAATGATAGCCTTACAACCACCCATTTTGAAATTTAAATAGCAAGAATGATTATGATCTCTATGTACAAAAAATAAATGGTCTCTTTGTAGACAATCCTTAGGTTGTTAACTTTAACTAAAGTAAGACATACCGACAAACCTTATTAGAAGATGCATTTCCTAAAATCTACTACCACGCTCAACAATGAAATTTCAAGCTCCAAAAAAATGATGTTGATCAAGCAAATTTATAAACATTTGAAAATCTTGAAAATAAATGGTCTAGATAGTGTATTACAAGATACACTATTTTTAAAAACTTTTTTTGGGTAATTCACTATTTTTAAGACTTGAACCATATGTAACATACTCTCACACACAAATATAATTAAAAGAAAGAGAAAAAGAAAAATGATTCTATGAAGCACCTAAGAAAATTCATGTTTCCAAAGTTCTCTCTCTCTCTCTATTTTTTTATTTCCTTGGTTTTGGTTGCTAATTTTTTATTTACATAATCTTCTTGGTGTGGAGAAGGACAAAAGTTAGGTTAAGAATCTATACGCTGTAAAGACTTAAATTGAAAAATCGATCTTCCTTCTTGTTGACTACTTGGAAATTCAAGAAAGACTCGATGAAATTTACTGTGGCACTTGAGGTTCATGTGGGGTAAGAAATACTGAGGTAGACTTGCTCCTGTCATAATCCTGGCATATTGCTCCTGTAAGCAATTGAAAGATTCAAAGAGAACTTAAAAATGGACAGCTTTGTGAAACAAAAGAAAGGATCAAATATAAAGGTCGAGAAACAACTTAGAAAAATCATTATGCTACTTGAGTGAAATATTAAAGTGGAGAAATGGCATTTTTAGCCAACTGATCAGACTTACATATAATCTTTGAATAATTGGCACCAGACAATGTCTTAAAACCCGACGACATTTGATAAAAATCGCATATGTGGATGGGAATCGGTTAGGAATGAACCGGTTTTAGGATGATATGGGTCCGGACTCGATTCCCTCCAAAATACCCCCTTTATATATACGTTTTGCTTTTTAAGAGCTTATTTAACTTTTTAGCTCCCCAATGTATCTCCACCCTACAAACTCTTATTTTAATTTTCTGTTATTTTATTTATTTTTTTACATTTTTCTAGATCACCGATTCAGACTGATCCAAATTCAATTCAGATCATCAATCTAACGATCTACTACGAATATGGGTGAACGATCCTCCCCACTAATCCGGATTTTGAAAAATTGACATTTGGCACCTAATAGAGACGGCTCACCCACTAATCCGGATTTTGAAACATTGACATTTGGCACCTAATAGAGACGGCTCACCCACTAATCCGGATTTTGAAACATTGACATTTGGCACCTAATAGAGACGGCTCAATCTAATTGTTCAATTTATTGTTGTTGCCATTTCTTAGGAGTTGAATTTCGCTTACTAAGCACCCAGTTAAACCCATCAAACCGTATTATTTTTTATGTCACTTCTCAAATCTTTCAAACTATAAAACGTGTGTGTATTTTTATCTATCAAGCTATCGTCTAAATAGAAAGGCTTCAACAACAAAAGTTATCTAAACTATAAAAAATTGAAAGGTATGGATCAAAATCCATCAAAAGAAAAAGAAGAAACCAAGCAAATTACTTGAAGGACACGGTTTCTACGAGTCAATGTAGAAACGAGTAACCTCTTAAAAATCTATTTTTGAATTGCATTTTTTAATTAATTTTTAGAGACATGTATTCTCTAACATGTAGATCATGAATATGAAAAAATATACAAATTTTGGAAATTAGAAATAATAATTCTATTAAGCAAACATTGGGACTATTAGTTTCAATTGTTTCTAGGTGGACTACCTATTTGCCTCCATCTTTAAGATGGATGCGTTATACCTCGGGGACCATAAATGTAGAAATGCAGTCCCCACTACGTGAAACAATTATCTGCGCTTGAAACATTGATAAAGGAGTAAAATTTAGAACACCCCACTACATGAAACAATTATCTGCACTTGAAACATTGATAAAAGAGTAAAATTTAAAACACACAACATTGTCATTGTTGACATTATTTCAAAACAACAGCATCATTCAATTTAAATTACTTGAGATGCAACTCATAAATTGGGGACATGCCTTCATGTCATAAGGTGCACCTAAAGGAAATATACCTCGTAGCGGAACTATTTAATAGAATAGGAGAGGCACCATTGAGGAGGCGCCTAAACGAATACGAATACGAATAAGAATAGTTCCTACCGGTGTTCGTAAAATCGAATTGGAATCTTTGAAGCGGTTTAACTGGCCTAACCAATAACCATCGGGTTAGATTGAAACTGGCCTCTTGTTGGTTCCGGTTTTGGGCGGTTTTGGTGTTTGGCTGATATTTTAAAAAATAAAAATTCAATTAAATGTTTATAAAATCCAAAAAATAAGGAATTTGATTTGTAATACATTTTTTTGATATTATTTATATTATGATAAATATTAAAAATTGTTTTGGTCATTAATACTCACTTTTAACATCTATTTTTCATTAATTTTCAACTTCATTTGAATGTGTTTTGTTTTAATCATTCTTTATTTGCTTTTCATATTTTAGTATATATATTTTTTCATCTTTTTTATTTGTTTCAACAATTTTTTGGCCGCCTGGGACTTGCCCGGTTAGAACTGTTTAATCGGCCGGTTAAAGAAATGACATATCACGAGTTTTTCAGCTAAAAAATGGATTTTTTTTTTTATCTCTTGATCTCTCTCAAAAGTGGTTGTGATCTAAAATAATTTTTCGTTGAATCGGAATGGGGGCTAGAGAAGATCAATCTGTGGCAATTTTGATGGAAACAGGTTCAAAATGAGGCAAAATCGGTTGGTTTTTAAACTTTTGGTCTCAAAAAAACAGAGAAAAATAGAGAAGTTTTGCTTAATACCCGACCGAATCCTGATTTTGGTGGGGACTTGACTGGTCCCCCAGCACCAAGCAAGCTTGGTGATTTTTAATACAATGCTCATAGGGTAATTCTGACAACAAAATAATGTAAATATACCAATATTATATGAATAGAATTTGACGCGTTAGCCTATTGCTCGTAACACATTGTTGGTCACAAGTTAGAAGAATTCATTATCACATCCATGTTAAGTTTTTGCCTTCTTTTAATAATTTGTAGTCATTTTAAGTTATTAAATGACAAATTAAATGGCTTGAAATTTAATGGTACGTGATTGTGACTTTATTGTCAATAATATAAGTATGCGATAGTAAAAGAAAAGAACAAAAAAAAAAAAAACTTGAAATCTAATTGCAGGTAATTGTGATCTTGTTGTCAATAATAATCGTATATGATAGTTAAAAAAGGTTAAAAAAAAAAAAATCATAATAATGGTGGTAATGGATCCAGCTACACCCGTGATCCGACGAGATAGACCCATGAACTGACGGGTACATGTATGAGTCCAACTTTGGGACCCGAATACATTCAGGTCCGGGTCCGAGTTCAGCCATACCCAACCCGTTGCCAGACCTACTTTTCACTATACTTGTACAGGAAAATATCTGAGTATAAATCACGATAGCTCTCTCCATCTCTGTCAGAGTCGTCAAAATTGACATCAGAATATCCTGTTGGGTATAGGAGTGAACACTTTGGGCGTGAAAGACACAGCGAGTATTGGAGTTATTATTTGGGTTGGGGACTGTAGAGAAGGGAGCAAAAACAATGGTGCTTCTGATGTATCATCTGAAGATTCTGAAAAGCATGAGGAAGAATCCGAGCCTTTAAGAGAAGGCATCAACACCTTCACCGATGTCTCGATCATCCTCTAGTATTCACTCTCTGATCCTAAGGAAACATATGCTGGTGAGCTTGCTCCAGGTGCTTCAACTTAAGTAAAGTGATGAGTCTCAAAGCAAGTGGTGTCAGTGAGGATGAGAATGAGCAGATAACATGTGCTGCTCGTCCAAAGTCAGGCAATATAAGTTGTGCAATCAATAATATACCCGTCACCGGTAGAATTTACATGGCAATGAGCCGGCTACAACTTGTGAAATTTAGATTTTCAGCTGTAAGCAAATATTAGTAATTATTCGGCCGAGAAACTCGCCTCGGCCAAAACTGAAATTCGGATTTTCAGCTGTAAGCAAATATTAGTAATTATTTGGCCGAGAAACTCGCCTCGGCCAAAATCTGAGTACTTTGGTTGAGTTGTGTTTTAAGGCACTGAATATTACCTTCCTGCTGGGCCTCCTCCTTCATGGTTTCTACGAAGAATGGATCCTACTAATGTAGCCAAAAGGAAGATAACCATATAAGTTATCCCCTGATGGAAACAGTGATGAGCCAAGGCCTGAACATGAGAGAGGAAATGTGGTAGGACCTTCTTTTGTGCCATCAGAGGGTTTAACATGGATATTAGGTGAGGAGAGATGGGAATTGGGGCTATCAGTCATAGATGCCTATCTTTTATTTTTAACTGAATCTGGACCATCCAATTATTAGATAATTGCCCGAGGCACTTTCCCTTTCATCAAATCAATAAACACCAACTTAAATATCACATGAGCTAGATGCATGAGTAATGGTAAGAGCATTCAGCTGCCACTCCTTGTGCAGAAGAACTCTTTCTATGAGAGTAAAAAAATCTTCGCTGTGTCAGAGTGAACAATTGCTGTCCCCATTGTACTATATACCACAATTAACCAATCATTCCTAAGCTTGAATCCTCGAA